TTAGATGTGTAGTCTGAGTAGAATCGGGAGAGAAACGGAAAAGAATGAAAAGAACTGGGACAGAGTTTTTCATTCGAGATATAGAGAGAAAATGCTAAGTGCCTTCACCATGTATACGTGTTGAGGGTTCGGGCCGAGTCTTAACATACCCATGTTGAAAACAAGCAATACGTACTTGTACGGTCAAATCGACGAACACAAGGCTCAAGAGTCACTCAAGATAAACATTTATCGAATGAGATGTGAATTGAATGTAAATGTAATATGAGGAGTTAGAGGACAGATGACAATCGAACCGTTTTTTTACGCATTACGTCCCGAGCAAGGCGTCAAGCCACTAGGATGCAGGGGGGGTTGCAGAAGATTTGGAGCAAGAGCAGATAGGAGTGATAGAAGAAAGGATGAAGAGAGGGATAGTGGATAGATCAAGGTAACTGGAGATGTCGATTGACATTCCATTTGAATAGATTATAGCTCTCAGGGAGACAGTAATCGGGAAGGGTGTTCCACAGGCGAGAGGTGCAAGGTGTGAAGCTATTGGAGTAGAAGAGATGGCTACATTTAAAAGTTTCTACGGTGTAAGGGTGGGAGCGGAATGCGAGCCTCATAGGGCGCTTGAATTCATGGAGTCTGGGAACCAGTGAAAGTAGCTCATCAGAGCAATTACCATGAAAGTATTTGTAGAAAAGACAGAGAGAGAGAGGCGACGGCGCGTCTGGGAGAGAGCAACTGTAGACGAGATGCCAGATCAGGGCCAATTACATTACATATCCGTCTCTGGACATTGTCAAGAACTCCGAGGTAAACAGAAGGTACCCCAGACCATATATGACAGCAATACTCCATGCAAGGACGAATTGTTGATTTGTATATTTGAAGTATCGATTCCGGGGAGAAAACATTCCTGGCGCGGCACAGAGAGCCAACTTTCCTCGCGGTGGATGAAGCAATTGACTCAATGTATTTGTTCCATCTCAGGTCAGCAGTCAACGTGAGACTGAGCAGACGCAGGGTGTTGCTCTCAAGAAGTTGACTATCAGGCATTCTAATGGGGGGTGGCAGTTTGACTTGAATGTAGCGTTCGGAGAAGTGCCTATACTGTAGTCAGCTCTAAATGTTAAATATGTTTAGCAGACTATTATTTTTTTAGAGGAAGTGTATATCTGCTCGGACTTCCTGATGTTGACGTTAGAGGTCATATTGAAGACAAAATAAGGAAGTCGAATTTGATTGGCTGAGCCAGCATCGGAATAACAGATATAGAGAAAGGTTTCTTCAGGGAGTCGAGTCTTAACCGGCAAACAAATGTAGACGTGTTTCCTTTTGTGTCTGCAAAGGCTCCCCAATGGACAAGGAAGGATCCCCACTGGATAGATAGAACATGTCGACATGATCGTTAAAAAAATAGTTAAGTTAAATTACCTGTGTTGAAGTTTTTTTGTTTTTTTTTTAATCTCTGAACTCAAAGCAACTAGCGATCACTGGCTGTGAGATAAGAATGCAATTTTACTATCGAATTGATAACTTCGCTTAAGACACCCAGCATGGCTATGCAACAGAAGTTGGTAGGGAAGCAAGAAGCCGGAAGAGAGTTCTACAAGTGTAAGTGAGAAAAACTGTTAGTATAGAACTGACGGTTATAACTAAACTTTAAAATTATGAGACCTATAAGCCAATCTAGTACTGCACTTAAATTTCTAAAGTCTAAGTAGCAAAAAAAGATCGAACGCAACTGAGTTGTGTTTGTGAAAATATGATTGAGAGATGCCTGGTTTCGGGGAACAGCTGCCCACGTCAGTACCTCTATCATTGGACTAAAAAGGAGAAATCTGCTGTAATATCGATGCCAGTGAAACCGACTTATTTGTAGTGGGGAATTTTCCCTGAGCTGCGAATTCCAGAGATTGACCATCTGGAACAAATACAAGCTATATATGGAAAGTCGATTTTGATTGGCTGAGCCAACGTGGGAAAGGTGATAGGGGAAAATCTTCAGTGAGTTGAGTCAAACAATGTAGTCGTGTTTTCTTTCGTGTCTGGAATGGCTCCCCAGTGGAAGGGAAACAACCCCCACTGGATAGATTGAATCTGTCGACATGAACGTTAAAAAAAAATAGTTAAGACAAAATTCCCTGTTCTGAAGTTTTTTTTTATTTTTATCTTTGCACTCAAAACAACTAGTGATCACCGGCCGTGAGAGAAAAATACAGCTTTATTATCGAATTGATCCGTCGCCCAAGACCCCGCAGCCTGAGCGAGATATACAACATTCAAAGCAGTTGTTCTTACGAAAATGATCTGCCAGATTAGAACTTCCTCCTTACAAATGGAAAACGCTTGGTTCGACTCCGTCAGTGAAGCATGGCGGGTATTAGCTGTAAAAGTGTGAACTGATAGGAATAAAACCTGGAGCTTATTCAAACATTTGCCATGGAAAGAGCGATAAAGTAGTGAAAACATCTTTTTTTTTTTTTGTTATCATTTCACCCGAAGCAAGGCGATAATGCCACTAAGACACAAAACCTAACTGGGGGTAAAAATAGAATGAGAAAATCTTAGTGATTAGAAAAGACAATTAAAAAAACAGATCACAGGAAGACAGAAGATAATTATTGTATATGCATATTTAAAACTCGTAGTTGACAGGGAAGTAAAAAATCTGAAGGGCCTTCAGAAAACGAAACGTACGGGGAAAGAAACTATTAGAATTTATGCAAATCTAGACAGTTCATTAATAAAACGGTGAGATCTATTTGCTAATCTAGTAGTACGCTTAAATTCATACAGTCGGGACGTTAGTGTCGTCAGAACAATTGCCATGAAAAGACAGTAGAAAAAGTAAACGGAGTCGAGAATGACAGGTTTGGATCGATTATATTACACACCCTTATTTTATTTTCGCCAAAAGTCCCGAGACATGTACGGGGTGAGCAGCAAAATCAGACAACGAAATCTCTATCTATAAAAGGCAGGATGTCTGTGTGTGTGTGTGTGTGTGTGTGTGTGTGTGTGTGTGTAACGAATGCACGGACGCAATTTTCGACGGATTTGCACCAAAATTTACATGCACATGCTCCAAGTTAGCCGGAACGCCAAGACCGACTTTGCATTTCCCAACTCCCATCGATAGTGGAAATGATCGATTTTTTCATGCTTCTACGGCAGTTTTCATGTAGTTTGCGACCATTTTGTACTGGCCAGAGTGAGAGCCAATAGCTGGATGCCACGAATAGGCAGGAAGATTCTATTGGCCAGCGTGAGAGCCAACAGCTGACTGACACGAATGTTAACTAGCATGCTAGCATGAAAAAATAGATATCTGCATTCGTCACAAGTGGGAAAAATTTAAATCTGCATGGCACGTTACTCCAATTGGCTCATTCGCTTGCTTAAACTCAACGTTGATTCTGATTCCGCAGAACTGGGTTGGGTGTGAAAAAGTATGTGTTGTGAACATTCTTTTTTTATTCGGTTTTTCCAATTACGAGTCCTTTTTTAAAGCTGATCGTTTGGTGTTCATTTGGTTTAGTTCTTTTTTCTTAACAGATTTAATGTTTAGTATTGAGTTTAGAAGAAATTCGCAGTGTGAGGCAAGAGGTAAGGCATGTAGCAACATCAGCACGGCAAAGGGCACTCCTTTAAAGGCAAGGAAGGGCAAAAAAAGTCAAGTGATAGCGATTGCTGTATGAGTCGTACGATTTTTGAATCAAGCACGGGTAACGCCGGGCCATGCTGCTAGTAGGCAATAAAAACAAAAGTTGTATATGCAGAGACCCGACAGTTTATTTAGCAACAGTTAGAGTTACTAGATTATTTTTCAGTGTAACCGCCGCTGGTGGCCACGACCATCTCAAGGCGGGCGCGAAATGAGTCACACGCTTTGGCGACCATGTCCTTGTCCACGATGGCAGCCTTCAGAGAGTCGGCCGCGTTGTGTGCGTGCTTGTTGGTCTTGGCCTCGATCACGCCCCAGGAGAAATAGTCAAGGGGGTTGCAGTCGGGTGAGGAGGGCGGCCACAAGTCCGGCGACCCGTAGTGAGGAACATTGTTTAGCAGCCACGCCTGGTTTGTCTTGGCCTTGTGTGCAGGAACGGAGACCTGCTGGAAAACGTAGGGGCATCCGGCGGCGATCTCGTCTATCCAGGGCTTCACCACGCTCCTCAGTACCTCCTGGTAGATCACAGCGGTGACTCTCAGGCCCTTTCGAAAGAAGAATGGAAGCATGATGCACCCCCCCCTCGGTAGAAATGACGCCAGTGACCATGACGGAACAGGAAACTTCGTATGCTTCTTTTGATCGGGGCTAGCCTTGATTTTCTCTTTTAGGTCAACCTACGTCACATCGGGATGGTTTCCTCCGGAGCCCTCTCCTTGGTTAGGTTAGACAAGCTTTAGTGTACCTAGTTAATGTGAGTAAATCTTGTTCCTGGCCTGTTCCCGGCTGCCTCTTTGGTTATGATTCAAGAGATTTCCAACTTTCCCAGTTTGTATTGCCCCCACTTTCATCTCGACTGGGTCAGCTTTATATTTTCCCATGCTCGTATTATTTTTATCCTTTTTCTCATTCCCGTAGTGAGATAGCTTCTTGATTTTGTCCAATGGGCAGAATACAGCGATCTCTCCTTTTTGAGGGTTGGACGTGCCCTACTAGCATCAGTTATGTTTAGTTTACTTTGGGTTGAGTTTTATTTTATTTATCTCCCTCCCCTCTCATTTTTTATTATTAGAATTGTATATATATATATATATATATATATATATAATTATTATCATTAAATTTTTAAGGCACGGGAACGCGTTTTGCAGGTTCCCCTTGAGAAGATGCGGTATTATGGTGGATGGAGGATTGATTGGTGATGGACGAGTTCTTATGGTGAATGTGGAAACTGTAATGTGTGAATGGGTCGTGAATCAGATTAACTAGGTATAGGATAGTTAGTGAAGACCAGCCTCAACCCCTCACCATTTTGGCCTTGTGCCCTAATTGTATTTTATATACAATAAATATACCTCTTCGATGTCTTTGCAGATCCACCTGTCGTTCTGCCTGTTGCTCGTCTGGTCCTGAATGAAATTCTTTTCATCATAGAAGAACCTCAGTATCCCAGCGGACCCGTGCTTGAATTCGTTCAGCAAAGCCGCCACCTTGACCTTCCTCGACTCCTTGGAGGCATTCGTGATGAACATGCGGTAGGAGGAGTAACCAATGTCCTTCTTGATCGTTCGGCTGCCCATGTTAGCGGCGATCTTGACGTAACTCTGGCTTCCATCATTGTCGACTGTCTCCTTGACGGCGGCGACGAACTCGTCGGTCCTAACGGCCGAAAAACGAACGCTAGAGGCCTTTCGTTTGGTAGTAAACTCGTCCTTGTTCTCAAACGCCTTCCACTTCATCCAAACATCCATGACCCTGGTCCTCTTGGATCCAAACCAGGCCATCACTTCTGCAGGCTTCTTCCTAACACGAAAAGAAGCTGCTACCGCTGCTCGGCGATCATATTCCACTCTGGTAAAGGACAGAGAGAAAAACTTCTTCTGAAGAAAGCAAAACGCTCGATTTGACGCCTGGAAGCTGACTGACTGACCACTTTCATCATTCTAGCGACGTCACTAAGCAGCCGTCATGTGATCCACGTGACTTCATTGCAACCAAAGGGTGATAAATACTGCAGTTTATCGACTGATGATATTTGCTTCACTACGTTATATCAGAATCGTCAGAAACCATCTTGCCGTTTATAAATCCGTATTCCTCCGTTTGGCTTGGTTAGTTTTGTTTTATAGCTGCCTCAATGGGTTATTTAATGCCGACAAGAATTTTATTGCTGGTAATATTTTTCCAAAAATGTATAACATTTTTTTTATATTGCTGGTCATATTTTTTCTTCAAAAATATATTGCTGGTAATAATTATTTACAAAAATGTAGAACTCGTAATATTTTTTTTCCAAAAATGTATTTCTCGTAAGGTATTGCTGGTAATAATTTTTCAAAAAATTATTGCTGGTATTAAAACTATTTTTACACATTTATTTTGTTTAACCCCAGTTTGGGGGTTAACTATTTGCCCGTAGTTGGGACCCTAACTGGTCAGGTCCTACCACTCCTGGTCAGTGTGAACCTGGGAACACCAGCAATTAAGAGGTGGTTCCACGCTCCTCAAACCCTACTAAACAGAGTCCTTGCTTTCGGATGTAGTTTATCGTATTACCCAGAACGCGGATATGGTTTATCGTCATACCCAAGACGCGGATGTAGTTTATTGTCTTACCCAGGACGCGGATGTAGTTTATCTTCTTACCCAGGACGCGGATGTAGTTTATCGCCATACCCAGGACGGTTATTTGTCTGTGAAATGAACGTTACTCTCATATTTGGATTATTGTTCCGTCTAGACATTTTCGCCTAAATCCAATGAAGGTTTCTGTAATGTTATTGACCCTGACCTGGCATCTCGACTTCAGTTCCTTTTATATATATAACGTCTATATATATATATATATATATATATATATATATATATATATAACGTCATCCATAGACAGACTGTTTCGCTGTTTCACAGCTCATCAGTGTGGCTAGACATCCGTTTGCCTTTAACTAGGATCGAAACCCGACTGAATTGGTGTCAGTCGGAGATTCTAACCATTAAGCCGTTGGGATGAAGGTGGATTTTAGCATATTTATTTTTAGAAACACGCCCAGTGACTCAATTCGCTTTTCGCGAAGAGTCTCGCTATATCAGCCATAATAGTCACTGTTTACCAACCCACACCTCCTCCCCAGAGTGCTCAACTGAAAGTAATTTTTCAGGAACCAATATAACGTCATCCACAGACAGACTGTTTTCGCTCATCAGAGTGGGTAGACATCCGGTTGCCTTTAACTAGGATCGAAACATATATATATATATATATATATATATATATATATTTAGACCCTGAGTTTTGACCCGCTTTAGCGATCGTCAGACAAACAGGGTCACAAACTCACATCTATCCAACCAAATATGTTAGCTCTATCTCTGATATTGAACGCTTTCTAATAAGTACCGCGCATATAATATATAAATAATTATACATATATATATTTATTTATATTTTTATACACTTTTCACACACACACACACACACACACATATATATATATATATATATATATATATATTCCTGGCAGTTGTTCTAATCAGCTCTCCCCACCGTTACCTCGACCGCGTGAATTTAAGCGTGCTACTACACTGGCAACTAAGTCTCATTGTTTTACTGCTAAAATACCTATAAGTAACCGTAATTTCTATTCTAATAGCTTTGTTCTCTCCAAATTTTTACATGTGAAACCCTCTTCTGGTTTCTTGCTTTCCCGCTACCTGCGACCTTCAAAAATTTAAATGCAACATCAATCGCCATCTTCTGTTTTCCTAAATTCTGTTCTTTTATTGGGGATTTGGTTTATGATACAGAATCTTAAAATCCTGAAAATCGAAATCCGGAAATCTAAAATACCAAAATTCCGAATGTATCAAAATACCGAAAGATCAGAATCCCGAAATTTAAAATACTGATAGATCAGAATCCCGAAAAATACTATTTGGGAGAATTTGTTTTAAAAAAATTGGAAATACCTTTATTTCTAAATATTTATAAAATATCGTTTAAATAGATTTCATACATTTGAATTCATTCAAAATTCATAAAAATATAAAGCTAGAATATATGAATAATTTATAATGTCAGATTATGAGCAAGAACTCTATAACATCTGGTCGGTTTTCAAGATCGTTAACTACATTTTTAAGTGTTTAATCACTATAAAAAAAAAAAAACATTTTTTTCTTTTTGTACAAGTCTCTCCTCGGTAAATGCATTTACATTTGTTTTCTACATGCTGCTGCTCTTTTTAAAACAAACACCGACATGACCATTGCCAACTAAATTTTTCCTTCGTCTATGCCATATTCTGTTTTTATTTTTTATTTATTTATTTATTTTCAATAGTCTTTTGGGAGTTCTGCTTTTTGAGGATTTTAATCTTCGGGATTCTGATCTTTCGGGATTTTGTCACATTCGGGATTTCAAATTTCAGGATTTTAAATTTCAAGATTTCGACTTTCGAGATTTTAAGATTTGGGCTTATGATCGAAACCCTCTTTTATTGTCCTTTCTCCTCACTAAAATCTTCTCGTTCTCTTTCACTCCCAGTAAATCCTTGCATCTTAGTGGCTTTAACGAACCGCCAAACAGACTTTCCTTTTCTTCTCTGTGTATAGATCATAGCATATTAAATTTTCCCATCGCCTATGCCATATTCTGGTTTTACATTTTTATTATATTTTACTTTCTAGAACGTTCTAATCATTCGGCCACGTGCCCTTGCTTGGCCGAATGATTAGAACGTTCGCTTTCATTCATTTTGTTCTGTGTCTCGGGTCTATTTAGGACTTTGGCAATCATGGCTCATTAAAAATTATAAAACCAGAGTATATGAATAATTTATAATAAAAGATTGAGCAAAAGCCCTAAGATAGTCTATAACATCTGGTCGGTTTACAGCATCGTTATCTATATTCTTGAGCCTTTCATCACGATAAAACACTTTTTTTTCATTTTAGACAAGACGCACCCCGGAGAATGCGTTCAAATTTGTTTTCTACGTGTTGCTGCTCTTTTTCAAACTCTCCAATAATCCGATAAACCCCGATATAAGCATTGACTATTAAATTTTCCCATCGCCTTAGTCAGGTTCTGGTTTTATATATTTTTTAATGAATTTTGAATGTTTCAAATGTATAAACACTATTTAAACGATATTTTCTAAATGTTTAGAAATAAAGGTATTTCCATTTTTTTTTTTTTTTTTCAATTTCTCCCAAAGACTATTTTTCGGGATTCTGTTCTTTCAGGATTTAGAATTTCGCAATTCTGTTCTTTCAGGATTTTGATATATTCGGCATTTCAAATTTCAGGATTTTAAATTTCAGGATTCCGACTTTCGGCATTTTAAGATTCGAGCTTATGATCGAAACCCTCTTTTATTGTCCTTTCTCCTCACTAAAATCTTCTCGTTCTCTTTCAATCCCTGGAATTCCTTGCGTCTTAGTGGCTTTAACGAACCGCCAAATAGACTTTTCTTTTCTCCTCTGTGTATAGATCATGCAATGTGACAAATACAATGGATGCGTGTCCTAACGATTAGAACGTTCGATTTCCGGTCAAGAAACACGTCTTCGGTTCTCCCCAAGACTCGATTTGAGAGGAAAGCGACTTCTTGATGTTAGCAGTCTGGGGAAGCGTTCCCAGCGTGCGGTAATCTTTGCGAAGATCCTGAAAACTATATCACCTGTTGACCCAAGCTTTGTGAGTGAAATTGGATAGACGAAGCTGTTTGGAAACCTTTGATGGCTGTGCTAGCACTAAGTCTCAAGTCGTGGCAAACGAGGTTATCAGCGTACTGGCGTTGTTCAAATTGCTAATCATGACCGATCATGTGTTCTCTCGCAGAGGCTGCAACTAATGTCCGCTTTGCGTAGTACTAGCATAAACGACTGTTGTGTTCTTTGGGTTTTTTGACGAATACAAATGTATCTGAACGCGTTTTTCTGACAAAGATTGGCTTGCCGCTCTAGCAGACGGGTGTGTTCAAATATCGGGAGTAGCCGACCATGAAATTAGGTAGCTTCATTTTTTCGCCGGAAAACAGTATAGCATCAAGAAAAAGGATACAGACTTAATAAAAAACAAAGTTTTATCGTCAAAATGTTTATGTTTTTATTAAGATGAAAGATCAAAGTATTTTTTGATTATTTAAAAAAAAATTGAATCCATTCTAGCACGTTCAAAATTTTCGTTCAAAATCTCGTATTGTTTACGTCATTGGTGGACGTAATAATTACAATAACTTTTTTCGCTTTTTTCTTATCTTGAAAACACATTGATTTGAAATTCTTGTAAAAATCAAATAATTGTCAGATTTTAATGAAACTTTCAGGACTTATTCACAAATGAATGAAAGTATTTTCGAAATTTTTTGCTTTAGAAAATCTTGGTAAAAATTATTATTATTTTTTTTTACATATGTTGCCCCCACCCCAAAACTTACTTAATTTCATGAAATTTCGCGAAATTTCTTTTTATTTCCAGAATTGTTTTACCAGTTAAAAGTAGGACTCCTTGAAGAATGTAGGTAATCTAAATTTTTCCCCAACTTTTTCTATTATAAATGAAAATCTGCTTCAAATAGTAAATTAAAAAGTGCAATCAAACTATGACATTATTTAATTAGAAAAACTTTTTATTTCTTTTGGAAATAAGTTATATTAGGGGCACTATTGTCTGAAGAAATATTTTTTCTTTCGATGAAGTTTTACAAGATTTTTTTCATTTTTTTAAAATTTTAAATATAATAATTTATAATAGTTTAAACCATCGATTAAAGCACTTTCTAAACTTTTGCATTCATAAATTATTTTCTCCTTTAATTAGTGTATAATTGTTAAATTAAAATTAATATATAAAAAAATTATATATCGTTGTCACACACACACACACACAGTGATTTTCCAATCGTAGCTTAGATGTGGCACAAAGCCAAAAGTAAGGGGCACCCAGTGAGGATCGAACTCCCTACTCACTCGTAATTGTTCTAACAAGACAAGCTTGCTAAACCATTACCGGCCTCGAGGTGCCCCCATCGACACACACACACACACACACACACATATATATATATATTTCAATAAAGGTGCAATTAATTTAGAAATTCATGAATTATTCATACAAAAAACAAATACAAAGGTTAATGATTTAATTGGCGAGAAATCCATCGTCGCGAACAATTTAAATAATATACAAAAATGAATTTGTAAATTAATTGCACCTTTATTGAAATTAAAATAACTGATCCAAGTGCAACTTTTGGATAATAAGTGCGACATTACTGTAATTATTGAACAATATAGTTCATGCCACTTTGACAGAAAATTTACCAGTAAAAAAGAATTCACTTATCACCATATGTGTACAGGAACGCACAATTGTAAAATTTAAAATCAAACTCAGCGTTGCGACTGCACGCTCCAAAAACAATAACTCATTTCTAATAGCATCTTTCGGATTACAACAATACATATATTTTCGCTGTCCTCTTATTACTGAGAGTAAAAACAAGGACAAAATCTATTCCATACGTGAGGATGTCTGTAGGAACAGACGAAAGCTTGTAAAAATAATCAGAACTTATGCAACAGAAATTTATAGAAACAAGGATCTTTTCATTCATAAACAGGTTCGGGGTTTTTGTATTCGTATTTGTTTTTTGTATGAATAATTCATGAATATATATATATATATAAATATATATATATACATACATACATATATATTTGTGAAGAAAAATTTGGAAAAAACAAACAAAAATCCTTAAATGCAATTATGTTGTTTAAAATGAATGAAATGTCGACGTCTGACGTTTCGGTTTAATAAACCTTCTTCAGGACAATATTCATTAAAATACAATTCAGTTCAATTTGACAAAGACGATGGACATAAAAAACAAGACTTATCCAAAACAGATAACTGAAAATTATAAAATGATCAGCTTTCCGTTAAGCATGGTCACGTTGTCGTCACATATATATATATATATCAAACGTTTAGTAATCTAACATGTTTCACTTTCATTAAAACTATTTTATTCATTTTAATGACAAACTTGAATTTCTATACAGTCTCATACATATTGGAATATTTACGGTTTTTCAGATAGACTTGGAATCCGTCAATTTCTTGAAACTTCGCATGGACGTGTTATCTATCCTTGAATTCGGAAAGAAACAAATTAAACTAATGTCGGTTTAAAACAGCCGGAGATACGTTAAAAATGATTGACTAATGAAAATCAAAAACAAAGGTAAAAATACCAGACTTTCTTTTTTTCTCTCCATATCTCATTCTCTGATGAAGCTTTAATAAAAGTGAAACATGTTAGATTGATAAATGCTTTCTGTGTATTTTTATCTGATTATATATATATATATATATATATATATATATATATATATATATATATATATATATATATATATATATATATAAATCAATTTTCCCGTCGGGTTCGACGTATGAGGTCAAGCAGATCAGTTTCCAGGAAACTGACAACCCGACAACAGTACATGAGATTTGATTATAATGAAGGTTTCGTGCAGGACAATCCACACTTTTTGAAGGGCCGAATACAGAGACCTGGTGCACTACGTGCCACAAGGTCCCCAAACAACTCCCCCTCAGGTTTTGAATTCAGAGTTGCCCTTCTCCTAGACCAGTTGCCATCCAAGGCTACAGAACCCAGTCTGTCCTGCTATTTTACCCATAGCTGAAGGGGGAAGAGGATTCACACCTTTCCCAAGGGTATTAGCACGTAAGTGAATGAAATGGATTCAACCTGGATTCGAACTCTGCTCTACGATTCCTCAATATATTCCTCGATATATATATATATATATATATATATATATGTGTGTGTGTGTGTGTGTGTGTGTGTGTGTGTGTGTGTGTGTGTGTTTGTGTGTGTGTGTGTGTGTGTGTATATATATATGTGGTTGGATAGATGTGAGTTTTTTGACCCTGGGTTTCACGCTTTAGCGATCGTCAGGGTTTGTCTGACGATCACTAAAGCGTGAAACCCAGGGTCACAAACTCACATCTATCCAACCATATATGTTAGCTCTATCTCTGATATTGAGCGCTTTCTAATAAGTACCGCGCATATAATATATAAATAATTATACATATATATATTTATTTATGTTTATATACACTTTTCATATATATATATATATATATATATATATATATATATATATATATATCAAAGTCAACATTGAAGTCAACACTCAGAGGTGACTGGCTGTTTCATGCTGGACACAATCGTCAAGCCGCCTGACGATTGCGTCCAGCATTAAACAGCCTGGCGCTTCTGTGTGTTGAATTCAGTGTTCACTTTTATATTTATATTTACATACCTTCTATCTCTGATATTTAACACTTTATCCCATAAATATATCACATCTTAAAACTATATTTCTTCATATATATATATATATATATATATATATATATATATATATATATATATATATATATATGTTCGTGTTCCTGCGTGTTACACTTGATTTGTTCATAGAAACGTGTCTATATATTTGCACAAATATCTTTGTAAAAATGTTGGCTGAGTGTCCTTTTATTTGCAAATTTTGCACATTCGTAAGTGTCTAAAGGCCGAGGAAAAAAAACAAAGGTTAGAGTTAGTTAACAAGAGTAATTGCATGGATCAAAATCTTCAGACACTGGAGAAAGTTCCTATGTTTCGATTATTATATATATATATATATATATATATATATATATATATATATAATTTCTTTTGAAAAGTTACAAATTAGCTGTAAATCAAGAGTAGATTTCCTGTGGGCGATACTTTTTCAATTTGTATGGTGCTTAGATTTGGAAAAACTTTATCTGAAATCTGAGAATCGAGTGGATTAATAGAAATATAAAAAAAAAAAGTGGAGTCCAGAGACTGCAGGGAAAAGAAAAAAAGAAAAGAAAGAAATATACGGAATTTACTGAAAGAGAAGAAAGAATTAAATGGTAGAATTGACAGAAAGGGGGAAAGAAAAAATGAACGAAAGCCAAAGAAAGAAAGGATTGGCCGAAAGTTACAGACAGACAGACAGAAAGAAAGAAAGAAAGAAAGAAAGAAAGAAAGAAAGAACTGACTGAAAGTTACAGAAAAAAGAAAGAAAGACAGAAATAACAAAAAAATTGTAAGACAAAATGGAAGGCAATAGAAGGAAAGAAAGAAACATAAATAAATGGACAGACGTTAAAGAAAGAATGAAATACAAAACTGAAGAAAGAAAGAAAGAAAGAAATAAAGAAAGAAAGAAAGAAAGAACTGACTGAAAGTTACAGAAAAAAGAAAGATTGACAGAAATAACAGAAAAAATGTAAGACAAAATGGAAGGAAATAGAAGGAAAGAAAGAAAGAAAATAAATGGACAGACCTTACAGAAAGAATGAAATACAAAACTGAAGAAAGAAAGAAAGAAAGAAAGAAAGAAAGAAAGAAACCGATATGATGTCCAATCCCTGGGGGACGAAATCACTTCCATTTCAACGAGCAAATCCAAACGTAATAAAGCAGAATAAAAATATATAAACAATGAAAGACGAACGGAATAAACCCTTTTGTTTTCCCAAGTTCTAATGAAGCGGTTAATTACGTGTAGCATCTTTTCCCGCCTTGATTTTGATTACAGCTCTCCCCAAAGCCAATTTTTACTCTTATTCAAAAATAAATTCTCTCTCCTTTAGTTGTAATCTTAACCATTTCCAACCTGAATAACATACAAGTTTTCTGACCTGAAACTTCGCAATACCTTCTGAAAACCTCATCGTAATTAAATTTCAGTCTCCGTTTTGTATTCCTTAAACGATACCTTTCCCAAGCTTATTTTAAGTTAAACAAAGCTAGGAAGATTATGTTGCGCTAAACTTTCTGCCTTAAAGATCAGCATGCAAAATCTGAATTCTTCTGTATCATGGTATTTTTTTTTGTATGTGGTCTAAATAAAAAAAAATGTTTCGGATCTATTTAAAAGTGCTGAATAATTGTCATACTATACTAGAATAAACTTTGTCCTCAGCATCGTATCAGATCTCTTCAAAGGAAGACAAGTGTATTGGTGACCTGAGATAGCCGTCAGCTGGTGGTAGAGATCCGCGATGAAAAAAACGAACCTAGACAGATGAATTTATAAACTACAGCTTCAAAGAAGAAAGGGCAGTCAATTATACATCCCAGAAAGAATGTAAGGACCACGTATGTCTTTCTAGTGCCGCTTATTACAGTCTGGCCGAGGATTACTGATGAAGTCCGGAGGTGAATAAACTTTAATGTTACGTGATGAGGATTCAAGTCTCGTATAATTTTATCTCTCACTTCATTACAGAATGGATCGGGTGAGATGTTTTTGGGCGACACATAAATTGTCTGAGAAATCAAGTTTGGAATTATTTTTATTAAGTCACTTCAGATTTATAGATAACATGAATATAAGTTTTTATTTTTCTTGCTTTTTTTTTTTTTAAGGTCTGATTATTTAAAAATCATTTCACTCCAAGCAAAGCAATGAAGCAACTTGAACCATATGACTTTACTGAATATGAAAGACAACAGAATGAAGGAAAGTGAGAAAACGATGCTGATGAGAAAGTAAACGAGAATAATAATGATTTAAGGCGGGAAAAGATGGCGATTGACTTTGCATTTAAATTTTTGTAGGTCGCAGTTGAAAGAAAATCAAGAAGCCAAAAGTGAATTGCATAGGCGAGAAGTGCGAAAAAAAACATTAAATTAGAACTTTAAAATTATCAGGAGTCAAATTATGATACCTAACAGCCAATCTAGTACTGCGTTTATACTCATAAAGTCAAGGAAGCAAAGAAGAAAACGAATCTGAGTTAATGTTTTTTTTTTCTTTTATTTAAACTATTTTAGTGATGAATTCGGAGAAATAATAAAGAATAAAGAAAAGATTGTTTTGAGTAAGCTTTTGGTGAGAAAAGAAAGGCTTCAAAATCAGCATTAGAAATCCTGATTCTTTGAAAGCGGTCATTATCGGCAGAGGTGCAAAGGGTAGTGTAATTGCTATCGCCGTGGAAAGTAAAACTGGAGTGCCGAGATCAAATTCCGACCACATCTGCTTCGTTCATTTAGCAGAAATGCAATTGCGGAAATGCAAGAATGATTAGGCGGCGTTCAGAACAACACTCTGAACAACGTACATAGTGTAAATAATTACAATACCTCATCTCAGAAATATAGTCATGTCCTGATGAAGGACGGTGCGTACAACGGCCGAAATGTCGTGAATATGGCAACGGAGATGAGAGCAACACACCGAACAATGTAAATAGTGTAAATAATTATATTACCTCCATCTCAGAAATATAGACATATCCTGAAGATGGCCGGAGAGTACAACGGTCGAAACGTCGTGAATATGGCAGCGAAGATGAGAACAACACTCCGCACAATGTAAATGATTACAATACCTCATCTCAGAAATATAGACATGTCCTGAAGAAGGACGGTGCGTACAACGGTCGAAATGTCGTGAATATGGCAACGGAGATGAGGGCAACACACCGAAAAATGTAAACAGTGTAAATAATTACAATACCTCATCTTAGAAATATAAACAGGTCCTGAAGAAGGTCGGAGATTACAACGGCCGAAACCTCGTGAATATGGCAACGAAGATGAAGACAACACTCCAAACAATGTAAATAGTGTAAATAATTACAATACCACATCTCAGAAATACAGCCATGTCCTGAAGAAGGATGGTGCTTACAACAGCCGAAACGTCGTGAATATGGCAAGGAAGATGAAGCCAACATTTCGAATAATGTAAATAGTGTAAATAATTACAATAATTCATCTTAGAAATATTGACATATCCTGAAGAAGGTCGGAGTGTACATTGGTCAGAACGTCGTGAATATAGCAACGAATATAAGAACAGCACTCCGAACAATGTAATTAGTGTAAATTATTACAATGGCTCATCTCAGGAATATAGGCAGGTCCTGAAGATGGTCGGCGCGTATAGCGGTCGAAATGTCGTGAATATAGCAACAACGATTATGACATTTTTTTGTTCCACATTCAGGGAAACTAAAGTCGCTAATCATATTTGTCTCTTGAAAACACTGGTTATTCAATAAGCAACAGTTGAGTCTGGTACACGGCCGAGGTAATGGAACACTAATTGATTTGCTAAACATTGCTCTAAGAAAAATCCCAGTTGGTATTTCATAAAATCAACATTGTCAAAAGAAGAAGGTAGAAGAGTGAAGCATCCTCTTTGTTTTTAGTCCCATCAGTTTCCCTAAAGAAAAAAATAGAAGCAACAAAAAATGGTCAGTATAAGCAGTACCCTGCAACATAATAAACGGGTACAAGAGGATAACAGTATTCAGAAAACTGCTTCAGTCTGCCTACCCTATGTGAAGGGATTATCGGAGAAAATACAAAGGATCTGTGGTCAATATAACACCAGGACAATCTTCAAAAGTGGTTCAACACTTCGCAGACGCCTCTTCGGAGTAAAACCCCCTGTAGATGACAACATGACTAAGAACTGTGTGTATGCAATCCCGTGCAGCTGTGGTTAGTAATACAAAGGAGAAATAGGCCTCCTTCTTAAGGTAAGACTACAAGAACATCATAAAAGCGATAACACGATGGGAAATAGAAAAAATCAGGCATAGCTGACCACATATGGAGGGAAAAGAGGAATCACCGCCTCCTGTAGGATGAGGTCGAAACAATAGCGCATCACTGGAAAATACGAAAACTTAAAGAATCAGCACATATGCTAGGGCTCAAAATTTTCTGAGTCGACCAAGCATAGAAATAAATACAACATTGGAACCAGTAATAAGGCGTGCTAGAGAAAAGCAATGTATAACAACAAAAATTGCAATATGAGCTGTGATAAAAAAAATGAAACAATAATAATAACAGAAAAAATTGCAATATGAGCACTGGAAAAAAATAGTACTGAGACAATAGGTTTATATGTCTTAGAAATTCATACACAGATATCCTCAAGGACACATGGCCCAGTCGGATAAAGACGTTGGTTAGATCCAGTGACTAGTGCCAAAGTGTTAGGTCTAGTCACGGGAAGAGGCATGGCACGTGAAACTAGAACAATCTACACCGGTGGACGAAATAAAGGGTTCGATTCAAAAATTGAATTACCTGAAGAAGGCCGGAGCGTACAACGGCCGAAACGTTGTGAATATGGTAATGAAGATGGTGATAACAGTTCGAATAATGTAAATAATGAAAGTTAGTAAAAAATTATCTGCACTTTCGCAGTACCACATCTTGGGATATGTCACACTGTCTTCTGTGCATACGTGTTTATAGTTGGCACTATTGTTTGTTTTTTTTTTGGGGGGGGGTAGTGGTGTTGACCTTGTACAAGACCCGGGCGCCACTCGAGGTAGAGAATTACAGTGTAAGAGGTACAACGTATGCGGACATGTGCGGAGGATAACGGTTAGCACGAGATTTGAACAAGTAATCAGGGATGCAGCCTCTTGTGAGTCGGTTCCATAAGGTAGCGATTCCTGGGAAAGAGGTTGCTTGAGTGGTAATATCTCTCACCAGGCGGATATAAAAGGAATGATGGGTGGCGGGTTCGTTACAATGTGCGTGATATGGCGCGTCTTAGACGTGAAGGCTAGCACTGGTGGAATTAAGGAGCGTAGTTCATCTGAACACTCTCCATAGAATTAGAGATAGCACAGTATCGTCTGTGAGAATGAGATTGCAGAGTATATTATAGTTCCTAGCCTACAAGGACATGGAGACGTTTTTGATCACTATCGAGAGTGGAAAATGAAGACTGTGCGGTCCCCGCTTATATATGGCAACAGTACCCCATTTTCATCCAGATCTGACTCTTGTAAAATCAGGAGGAGTGAGGTACTTGCTGTAGCTTTACAGCGACACCAACCGTTTTTCCAGCTTCTTTAGCGATAAAATCGTATGTACATGTACCTCTTGAGGTCTGGGTTGAGTCTAAATCGCAATAGGCGCCCAGGGCAAGGGGCCTCTCTGAGGGAACATCCGTTCATCGTAGTTGGTGAAAATTCTGGGTCCGATCGTCTATGGTGAAAGGTTACTAGTATTTTAGCTTTGTCTTGGAGGTGCACCCATATGGTTTTTGTCCGTATCAGAATTGACGGATCAGGTAGAATTACCTTACGAAATCGCCGATTTCTCAGGAAACTGGATACACCAACAATTCCAGTTCCAAGACCTAGTGCATTACCGGAGACCCCTACACCAGTGCCACAAACATTCGACGCTGGAATAACATCAAACACTGCTCAGCCGTCTACAATAAGACGGACAAAAACCCCTCGGGCATTGTCCAGACTACTTCCACACAACCAGCCAGGTTTAAAGGAACAAATCCCTCCCCAAAGGCCACTACCCACACGCGATGGGGGGGAAGGAGATGTAGAATAACAATACAATAAACAACACTTACCGGCGTAAGAGTCCGAGCTAGCGTCCAACTGGCAG